CAGTCCGAGAAAAGGATTGGACCTGTATTTTGTGTCATCACATGTGATGATTAGGCTAACTTACTTTTGTAGTAAGAGATTTGCGCTGCATGAAGCACTCATAGGTGAGGTGAGTAGTGCTTACCAAATTCTTTGTCGGAGTACCACTTGGGTGACCTAGGCATAGATGGGGGATCATGTTAGAAGTGATCTTAAAAGAGATACGGGGTAGGGGGTGGACTGGATTCATCTGGTTCTTGTGAACACAGCAATAGTTGTATAAAGGAGGGAAATTTGTTGACCAGGTGAGTGACTGCTCGCTTCTCAAGAGGAACTGTGCTCAATGGTGTTAATGTGGTTGTCCTTTGTGCACCGGGATCGTGTCCTTGAGATCGTTATCAGAGAAAAAGAGTAGAATTTGAGGTTCTCACGGCGGTTAAGGACGATGATAGTTGAAGAAAAGTGGTCACAATTACGTGTTCTTAGTAAATTTATATACAGTACTACTACTTTGTGGTAGCCCTTGGCACAATTACGTGTTCTTAGTAAATTTATGTACAGTACTACTACTTTGTGGTAGCCTTTTGCAGCGCAATAGGGGAAGGGGGGGTAGTGACAGAGTAGCTACAGATCTTATGGAAAATGTTGGCCTTTATTTACCGTAACACACAGTACTATTACGCGGAATTTTTTTTTCGCTTTTCCATCAGACTTTTGAGTGCAGCAATTATTTATATTTCAATTGTATTTATTGTACGTAAAAGGCCATATCAATAATTGATATTTTTATACTTTGTAATATGACTGTGCTAAATCTCGAAAACTCGATTTCTTTTACCTGCAAACTGACGATACACGTACCAAGTTCACGGCCCAGCCCAGTAGGCATCATAAGGTGACGATAGATATGCAGTTACGTTTGATTGTTTGGTTACATTCTGTTGCGTTCAAGTGGCTGGAAAGGTGGTTCAGGCAGTTAATTCAGACGTTTCGTGGTCTCGTTTAAATATAATTTCTGATTTTTCACACATCGCCTGAGTCATGGCCACAACCGCGTTATTGCAAACCATATAATACGCTGATTAAATTTTTCTTCGTATAAAAAACGAAATGAATTATTATCTCATATCTTTAAAATATTATTAATATTTATTCTTTTGATAATTTGATGAAAGTATGAGGTTTTAAGTGAACGGTTACAAATACTTCCTTGGTTTAGTATTCCATTAATTTAATCGCTGGCCTCATGTGTCCTCCGTTTTCAGATATGAAAGTTTAAAGTTACCTTTTTGTCTATACATCGCGTCATGATACTCTCCAATATTTCTAGATGGTGGATGGTCAGGTTCTACCCCTGGGGGAAAAATCATCTGGTGAGCCCCAGAGCCAGTCTGAACTTAATGTTGTAAGTTGTAATGGTAAAAGTGTGAAGGAAATGTATCTGGTGCTTAGCAATACTATCGCCGCGATCTGCAGACCTGCCGAGTGCTCCAAGCTTGCGACTGTGCCTTTCGACGTTTCGAGTTCGAATGAGCTGATAGCAACGCCAGCGCTATATTCTTCCGTCAGGACCTTTAAGGACCACGCTATGCAGGCTTAAAAGAGGATGGAGGTTTTGCTCTAAGTATTCTCAATTCTTAACCTAGACACTAGAGGATGGTGAGCTCTCAGCTTCACGTCCCCCGAGATAATTCGCTGACCCTTCTGTGGAATTGCACTGTTATTATTGAAAACTGTTCCAAGTCACTTTATTAAACTGATGATAACTGGTTTGTAAGTGTTGGCGAAATGTTAAATTTCCTTGTGTGCTTAAAGGATAATATGACCGATAACAGGTCACTGGTACCTGTTGGGAAGGAGTTGTGCAATCACATGCAGCAACTGTTGAAAGAGAATCTCATTTGGCCGATAAATAACGGTCTATAAATAGAATCACCTGATAAAGGAATAATAAGGATTTCAGTCACCGCGTTCCTCCTGAAGTCAACAGGATTTGAAAAGAATTTCCGGATGTGGAGAAACAATGGCAGAAATATGATCGTACAATTATCTTCTCCCTCCCTTGTGTCCTACATTCGTATATGAATAGTCGACGAGGAACGGCCAAATTTAAAATGTCAGCTGTTCAGTTTATCGTCTACGCTGCTACGTGATTATATTCAATATCAGCTGCGAAGAAGTTTGGAATCTTGATTGTGCATGTTGTATTCTCACCACTATGGAGGTAATTACTTGTTTCTGAACATACAAGGCTGTAATTTGTATATACAGGTATCTGAGTGGGAACATAGGAACTAAAATGACACGTCCTGGGATCGAATGGCGCGTACTTCAGATGTTTTTGTATGGCGATGCTAGAAAGAACTGTAAATTAATCGGCCTGGTACAATTTTATCGTTTCCACTGGTGACATTCAGACTGTGTTAATTTTGTCAAATATAATCTCATGTATATGAGATAAACTTTATTCTTGATAGCAACGTCAGTGGAAGTCTTTCAAACGCTCCCCGGGCACCTGTTCCGACAGGGACTTCCAAGGTTTCTTTCAGGCTTTGGTGTCGCAGTGGATAATGTGGTAAGACTCTGTTACAGTCAGGGGAGTGAATTCCAGTTTCAGGGATTACTTTACAGCTTTGCTGTCCGGTTGCTTTTATCCTGAGTGGGAGGTCTGTGGTACGTGTTGCTTAGGAAGCTGATTGGGTTCCAGGCCCTTTCTTGTTATTATTGTGAAGAAAAACTTCCCAATTCCTATGACAGGAATCGAGCTTGGAGACAATTGTTAATCTGCATAGTTTTAGACCGTACATTAGTTTAAAAGTCGTTTAGTATGGAGTGGCCCATTTGTTTTGAAACTCGCATTTCTATATTAGCCGGTTAGCGGGTCATCGCATTATCGCTGACTCGTTTTTCAGCATGACTTGCCACTTCCGTGCTGTCGAGCTCGGTGTCACGATAAAACGGACAATCAGTATATTTACCTTAATTCGTTTATTCATTCTCTCTTAGAGAAATTAGATATAATTTTAGATGTACTTTAAAGCAGAGTTTCGTAGTTCACTTTTGTTTCCAAGATAACATAAACCTAATGTGTACGGTAGCAGAATTCTATTGACTGCGTCATTGCGTAGCGATGTGCAAGTGTTTCATTGGCCGAGAAGCGACCAAGGATATACGCATTCAGCTTCTAGATCAAGAAATCTGCGGAAGGGGCATTTGGGATTCCAGTCAGGTGTCGACTGGTCCATTGTGCCTGTTTTGTGGTCAGATCAACATCACTTCCGTATTCCGTCACTGTACACTTCCCGTTCTGGAATGTGGTGTTTCTCTTATTTATAGGACGTCTTCAGAAAAAAAAAGTGTTTTGCTGGACTACTGCTGTTTGTGTTTTAGGCTGTGTCCTATTTTGGTAACGCGTGTGAACGCTGTTACCCCTGACACATTTAATTTAAAATGGGTGGCTCTTTTTTATATCAAATTCTACAGCTCGGCCATTGAAATAATTGGCTGCGGACTTAGGAATTGCATTCCGAGAAAGAGAATCCTGATTTTTCTCCTTACCACATTGGTCTATAGGACTGCTAAATATTTGTAACGAGAGAAAGGTTTTGGGTGATTTTTTTTTTTGGGGGGGGGATAGGCGAATGCTTGTTTAAACACACCCCCTCTCTCCCCAACAAATGTATGGTACGACTTGGATTCCTGGGCCCCTTTCCCTGCCCCCCGGCAAGATTTATTTTGAAAAGAGTTGGTGTTAAAATCCCCAACATTTGTTTCAACGACAGAGTTAATTTTGAATGCAGACCTGTGAGGTAAAAAGTGGCTTATATTTTTAAAATACCGTTGTAAATTAATCCCTGTCTACGCTATTCAAACTGGACTCTATTTTTAAAAAAAATTAATGTGAGAATACAGGATAGCCATTTTGAAACAATGAAGGGACCTGTGAGGTAAAAAGTGGCTTATATTTTTAAAATACCGTTGTAAATTAATCCCTGTCTACGCTATTCAAACTGGACATTTTTTTAAAAAAATAATAATGTGAGAGTACAGGATACAAGACAGCCATTTTGAAACAATGAAGAATGAGACAAATATCAACATGCAAACATTCTTACAATATAGAACTCTTTCATTTTAACCATTTATCAGTGGGGGTTATGGTGAATGTTTAACGAAACACAATGCAAATAATTTTGATTCTCTTTCCCCATATATATATTTTGTAGAGTAAACTTTGTGAAATCGCAAAGAATGCGATTGTAAAACACGTGTAACGCTTCTCAATAGACCTCTACTATTGTTACATAAAGCAGCTTCTTTATTGCGCGAAGACGATTTAGTGATGAATCACCGGTTGCAAATGTTTTCTTTTCGGTCCGCTTCGAAATTGTTGCTGTGTACCATAACAAAGAGGTGACGCAAATGAGGCCAAAGACTGAAATTTCATATTGGTAAGGTTTTCTCATCTGTTCTGTTTGTAATTTGTTTTAAGTCTTGCTTTGTATAATGCGGTAAAATAATCTCAGTACATACAATTCCGGTTTGGGCCGGTTTGGGCCTTACCTTATGCGTTCCGCGACCACTCACATTCTTTGGTTGAAAAGAGGGTGGTACTGTTGTTGACTCTAATCAGGATAGCCACTCAGCTTTGATTTCACCGCGTTCAGTGACCTTTCTGGATATCTCTTCATATTAAGCACTTTAGATACTTTCTTCTAGATAAGTCACACTGCAGCTGATCTTGGGCTTTGCTTAGAACTGTGGGAGGCTGAATTTGAAGCCGGCCCAAATGTCATAGACAGACAATAGAACTCACAATTTAAGTAAGGGTTAAAATATAAAAGTAAAGTTTGTCTCACTATACGCCATGTAGGCGCTTGGGGGGAGTGGAGGTATAGCTCCTCTCTTCCTTGACCTCGGCACTAGATGGGGGTGAGTGGTCAGCATCACGCTCCGGCCGGCTTTACCCCCGGGAAAGGACCCCGGTACCCATTGTAGAGGAGGCTGCGTGGGCCCCAGAGCCGGTCTGGACGCAGAGGCTAGAGGAAAAATCCTCTGCCCCCGTCGGGGATCGAACCCCGTAGCTAGTCACTATACTGACTGAGCTATCCCGGCTCATTTAAGTAAGGGTTACTTTATTATAATTATAATCTCCGGACCGGAGATAGGGATTAGCTCTATCTAGTGGGCCCAACTGAGTAGGAACCTGAAGACGGAGATAGAGTCCCATCTCCGAAACGTCGTTTTACGTTTTATATTTACTAGACGATGGATAATATCCAAGAAAAATTTTATTCAATTGACTCTTCACCATCGTTAAGAAGTTTTAGATTTGATATTTAAATTTTTAGCTTAACGCATTATGATTAATAACCGTAAATTTGCAATCTAAGCAATTAATTCTGCAGCCATATTAAAATTAAGTACCATCCAAATGTGTAAGAACAGGTGGACCTATGTTTCTGTGTTTTGGTAAGAGATATTTAAAGATTCCCTGCAAAAATATAAGACTTTTGAAGTTTGTTTAAAAAATAAAAAAATTTCATGGACTAAAGACTGTGTAGAATGACCAAAACCGAACATTTTGTAAGAAGAGAAATATATTATTGGTACCATAAATTTTAATGTTGTTCAGCTCATAACATTTGTCTTTTCCTTGCTCTGTTGTTCTCCCCTGTCCCCCCCCACTGTTCTGTTATGATGGAATGTTACTTTGTTTGTGTGTGCTGGCAAAGTGTGTGGTGTGCGCGTGTATTTTTAACAAAAACTGAGGCTAAAGGGAGTGATGGTTGAATGGCTTCGAAGCCAACACATGTATTTTGGACTCATGATTAGACAGACGTAGTTACTTGGAGCCACATGCTGTGTACGGGCGTCTGTCCAAATATTTCTAATGTTCGTTCACGCGAAGACAGCTTCTGCGTGTCTCCTGTTTATGCTTCTTTAATTATTGCGGAAGTTTCAGATTTGGTCAGCGATGAGCGTACGATCTTCTTAGTCTCTGCTGCCGAAGCTAATAGTCGCTCATGCAGTCAAATTTCACACGATTATGGAAGCCAAGGGTTCATTATCTTGTACATAATATCCCACTACTGAACCTTATCTCCTGCCACATCTCATTCTGTAAGTTTCGTGTTTGGCTTTCAGGTAAAAAAATATCTGGGGGCGTTTCTGTGTCGCTTTGTATTCTACGTATCTTGAAAATCTTCTCGTTTACGTTGTCATAAAATAATGTTTGGTGAAACGTAGTTCCTCATTATGAATTTTTCCGTTGTCATAAAATAATGTTTGGTGAAAAGTAGTTTCTCATTATGCATTTTTTGTAATTCTCCCCTTGGTTGCAAATAATATTCTCAATACGATACAAAATATTAGTCTTGAAAATGTTAAATTTTTTTAAAGACGTTGAGATTTACAGGTATCTTTCGTAAGGAATCTACTTCTTCTTCTTCTTCTTCTTATAGCGTTATAACCCTGTGTGGGTCTTAGCTTGTTCGATGAACTTTTTCCATTCAGTCCTATCATTCACGATTCTTCTCCATCCCCCTAACTCCCATCGTCCTCACATCCTCCTCCACGTCGTCTATCCATCGTTTCCGTGGTCTCCCTCTCATCCTTCTTCCCATCGGTCTCCATTCCATCACTCTTCTAATTACCCTATTTCTCAGAACTTTATAGATTCTCAGTTTAAGTTGCCTCTGTTAATGTCCAGGCTTCACATCCATATGTGACTACTGGTCTTATCAGAACTTTATAGATTCTCAGTTTAAGTTCCCTCCCCAGTATTTTAGACTTCATTAAATTCTGATAGGCATAATAACATCTATTACCATTCACAATACGTGCTTTAATTTCATTAGTTACTGAATTTATAGTATTAATCTGTGAACCCAGGTAATTAAAATTCTGCACCTGTTCAAAATTATAATGTCCTATTCTCAATTTATTTGTAACTTTCATATATTTTGTTTTCGATTCATTTACTTTTAGCCCCCTTAATTGTGTTTCTTCTATCAATTTTATTCCTGCTAATAATAGCTATATCATCTGCATACGCACTCACTTGTATTGATTTTATGTCTATATGTCCTGAGATCTCCAGTTTTCAAATAGATGCTTCCAGCGTCAGGTTAAAAAGAATTGTTGAGAGAGCATCTCCTTGTCTAACTCCCATATTGACATTAAATGGTTTAGTTAGCTCACCATCTACTCTTACTACTGCCT